GCCTGGACTTCTGAGTATTATGTATGTAGCTACCTAGAGGCTCTCAATAGTGCTGTATGTACCATCCTGGATATGCTTCTAATCTCTTTCCTGTTCAAAGATGAGCAGTCCCAATCTTTTTTCCACTCCCATCCTTACCTTTTGTAGTTCATTTATAGTTTCATCAGCGCCATTTCGATCATTTTGCTTCCCTTCGATCGGCCCGTCCCAAAAAATTGTACGACTGTATGATCACTGGAATTCACAAAAATTTCAAGCCCTCCCCTGACGATGCAGAGCTTGTTGAACAAATATGCGTACAATTTTTCAAATAGCACCTTCAATTGAAATACCATGACGACCGTTTGTTCCCGTGAGCCGACGGATACTGCTGGGCCGTAATTTTGTTATAGATTTTAAATTTTTTTGGTTGTTTTTTATTATTTGTTTTTTCTTTGTCCTTAAGGAGCTTAGGAGCCTTTTCAGTATTGGCCGGCTTCGACGGTTTACTAAAAATTACCTGAGTCCAATTTTCCGTATATCTGAGTGCAACTGATGGCTGATATGAACTTCGAGGGAATCGATCAAGATATTAGGGGTTAGTCAAGAGCGACATCATGCAACCTTCTTGGATTGTTTAGGACAAACGCTCAAACGCTATTTATGTGATTACATGTGAACAATGCGATTACAGTAGGGCTTTAAACACTAGTGCATGGCGCAATCCGATACCACGATTTTTCCTCTTTCAAACTTTATCAAGCCTACATAATTGAGTTAGTAATAAGAAGTTGATAATCATCGAATTATATCATAACTTTTCATGTGAATTACCCTACTTAATTAGTTTTTGTATCCTTTTCAAATGAAATTAATGTTTCATGGTCTCCTAATTAGTGATGATACTGTAATTTGAAAAAACAGCCCACAACGGGATAGGGTGGTGGAGGTTGGGATGACTGTAAGTCTGTTAGCTCATTGTTGAGCATACGGTTGTCCAGCTTCTACTCTATAAGACCGCAAAGTCAGATTGAGTTACTGCTCCGTAACCGATTTCCCATTCAGGTCGCTTAGGACTGTGTACCTCTCCTGTTTAGTAGTTAACCGCTACCATGCCGAGCTGGGAGGTCAGTTTCATCTGGGTCTTTCTGAGGTGCTAGTCTTTTTGCAAAGGTTATAAGTATGGGACGCCTCTTCATCTTGGATGTCTACAGCAGAAAATTCCTTCACTCTTCTTGTTTATTGGCTCTGGAGACCTGGAACCTTATCCATTTCTCTTTTTCTAGACAAAAATATCCTCTGAAAAACCCTTTCCGATCAATTTTAGGAGGTTTTGGTGTCGATTATGCTTTCATTAATCTGAATTTTTAAACGTTTTAATCGGAATGTTTTCAATTTCTATGAGAGATATTTGTTATAGTTCAGAAGCTCAATGGCAGAAGATATAGTAGCAACATGGAGCGTACCCCTACAAGATAAGGTGAGCAAAGGTCAATCGAATTTTGTATTCTCTTCCGATATTGGAGGTAGGCAAGTAATATAAAAAAGAATTTTCGGAAAGTAATGTATAATAATAATTTCTCTCTGATGAAGCCTCATGGGAAGTCTCACAATGTTGGCGATTTGTGGGCAAAACTTCATTCTCGGACGAGACTCGACCCGTGCTTGTGCTTTTCGGGCACTCTTATCCCTTTCACTACCGGAAAATCGCGGACCCATCGTTGGTAGTCCCTAAAATCAGTTCCTCANTGGATGAGTCGGAATTATTTGGGAAGCGCGACTACGACAATAGGGCAGGCACTCAATAGAGTTACGGGCCACTATGCTAGATAGGATTAAGAATTTCCTTTCTCTCTGTAATACCCGCTCTTGCCCCCACTAGAACCCCTTTATTGCCGGCAGCTTTTTTGAATGAAACCTCAAGACAAGTGAGCTTTACCTTTTAATTGTTCTAGGGAAAAGTAAAACTCTAAATATGGTCAGTTAAGGTTTATCGAGTGGAATTCGAGCATGGCACAACGACAGGGAAGCGAGTCATCCGTATCGATGGGAAGGTGAGTTGGATTGGATTGTTTGCATCCCTATGAACTATAAAAGGATAATAGTGAAGGATAGGAACTACAATACACCTCTCACCCGTATTCCTTGTATGTACCACAGACAAGTATATGGATACGCAAATGCTTTACTTTTACGAGAATCGGGTAAAGTAACAAAATCTGAGGGAGGACAGGAATTGGTGTAATACTAGGTAGCGCCCTAACATGCGCAATATCCGGTGATCGAGGTTCGGATTAACATTACCAAAGCTGAGCTTCTCCAATGTTTTCCTGAACAGACCACCTACACAATGAAACAGATACATACGGTAACTCATATGGCCGTAACCTTACACGAAGGTGGCTTACATTGGCTGCAAAAATCAGCTTCCAATCAGTTAACTTTCAAATCCACTCAGTTCCATTTTACAGGAGATTCTACGGCGAGATTGGATGTTCAAGTTGGTTGGCAAAGAATCATTTCAACTCGGACCTATGAAATGCATAATCTCTGTAGAAGCACTAGGCACCTTCGCCTATGAGTACTCCCTAGAGGTTAGTACTCCTTTGCACATACTACTTTATCATCATTAAACACTCCTTTATGGGACTCTGATCTAGAAATCATAAATTACCGTGATTTCAGGTGAACGGCAAGAATTACGAGAAATTTCGTGAGGAACAGAGCAAAAAGCTATTGTGCTGGGAAACTCACATTGGAGGAGAGGAGACAAGGATCGTACTAGGTTAGCTATTTCATGATACTCCCTTTTCTTTGACACTTCAATACGCTTCGTGCTTCAATTCCTAGGGGAAAGTGGAGTATGATCGAAAATGTTCATCGCACATGTGATCCGGGTATCAAATCCCAGTTTTGGGAACGGAACTCATTTCGCTACACGCTTGAGCCAACCATGCCTCCAGTCCCTGCAGTGCCCTGTGTTTGGAACGCGGCTTACCCGAAAGACTGGAAACACTGGCTTAAACATCTGGTCACCACTAGTCATTCTATCAGCCACAAACTCAGTAACAGCGATTCTAAGCAGATGACGAATGCAGGGAGGCATCCCAAAATGAGATCCATCAAGGCCAGAGGGTTTTTGGACTGAGGGCGTCACTACCTCAGCCATGAGATCTCTAGCCAGAGAGTACAGAGAGAATGTCCGGACGGTATGCACTAAAAGTTCAAGCTACTAGAAAATCAGAGAAACAAAGGATAAGCGTTGTATCCTCGATTGTTGAGTATCTTTGGCGTTTGA